TCGTCATCATCATCATTATCATCATCATCGGAACACCACCATCATCGTCATCATCATCATCTCATCATCATCATGATAAGCATCATCGACATCATCATCGTCGGGACACCATCATCAACACTACCATCATCATCATCAGCATCATCACCGGGACACCATCATCATCGTCACCATCATCATCATCAGCATCATCGGGACACCATCACCATCATCATCTGCATCCTCATCATCATCTCATCATCTCATCAACATCATCAACTTCATCATCATCATCATCGGGACACCATCATTATCATCATCAACAACATCAACATCATCAACACCATCATCATCGGGACACGACACCATCATCTCCGGCATGGCACTCATAATCACCAACGTCGTCACCATCATCATCCTCATCGGGACACCATCATCGTCACCATCATCATCATCTCATCATCGTCATCGGGACACCATCATCATCATCATCATCACCATCATCATTTCATCATCATCATGAACAACATCATCAACATCATCATCGGGACACAATCATCATCGACATCATCATAATCATCATCAGCAACATCGGGAAACCATCATCATTGTCACCATCATCATCATTATCTGCACCATGATCATCATCGGGACACCATCATCACCATCATCATCACCTCATCATCGTTCTCATCATCAACAACATCATCATAGGGACACCATCATCGTCATCATCATCATCAGAAACATCATCATCGGGACACCATCATCATCACCATCATAATCATCATCAACCACATCATTATCACCCCCATCATCGTCATCATCATCGGGACACCATTGTGATCATCATCCTCATCATCATCATCATATCACATCAATATCATCAATATTATCATCATCATCTGGGCATCATCGTCATCATCAGCATCATCAACTTCATCCAAATCGGGACACCATCATCATCACCACCATGGCCATCATCAGCATCATCATCATCATCATCATCATTCTCAACACCGTCATCATCATCATCATCATCATCATCATCATCACCGGGGCACCGACGGGACACTGGCGGGACACCGCGTGCCACCGGGCCTTGGACAGGAAACATTTGGTTCAACCGCTCCTCAGCCAGAGGCGGGACACTTCTCGCCCGCCCACGCAGCTTCGCCTCGCCCGCACGCACGGCACGCGCGAACACGAAACCGAAAACGATTTCCCGATAGGGGAACCCTCCGTTCCACTTCGATCTCACCCCCTCACCTCCTATATATATATGTATATATACACACATACATACATACATACATACATACATACATACATACATACATACATACATATACACACATACATACATACATACATACACACACGCACAGACATACAGCCATACATACACCCTGGTGCTTGTGTGTGTGGTGCATATCCTGTTACACGTATGCAGGACGACAAGGAGAAAGCGGAAGGGGAAGAGGAGAGGGCGGAAACGGACGACCATTTTAAGAACGATAATGAGGACGAAGGAGGAGGTGGAGGAGGAGGAGGAGGAAGAGGAGGAGGACGAGCAAAAAGGAGAAATAATAGTAGGAGGTCGACGAAGACGGAAACGAAAACCCAATGGGGTCCCCATTCTCGCCCCCTCCGAAGAACGCTCATGCGCCCCTCTTGGAGCAATCTAGGAGCGCTCTCCGAGAATGCCGAACTCATTTTTTCTCCGTGGTGTGCTTTCGAGCCGATTTGCAGCCGTCCCGTGGCTCCGTGGAAGCCTTTTGGAAGCACGATGGAGGCCATCTTGAACCATCCTCGAATGGGCATTAGAAAAAAGATGAAATGAATCGTTAATCCACCTGCGGCCTAAACGATGGTCGGAATGCCCTTTCATCCAGAACTGGGACTTTTTCCCGCGCGGCGACGACAACGTCAACAACGACGACGACGACGGGAGCGCCTGGGAGCGCTCAAGAGCGGCTGGGAGCGCAATCGGACCTCGCCGTCGTCGTCGCCATCATGGTCCTCGTCGTCGTTTGCCCGCTGGGTGAAGGAGTCCGAAGCCATTCCACCTCCTGATTTTAAGGGGGGTCTGGATCCCCTACCTAGCGCTGACTTTTGGCGGGGGGTTGGAACCTCCCGGTTGACCTTTTCACGGCGTATTCAAAGGACTCTCATTTTTTGAAACGAAGAGATCGTGACCAAGGTAACCGCCACTTCCCGCATTGCCCAGCGGGCGGGGCCGCCATCACAATGATAGAACAAATCTTGTCGTCCTTTGCACGGAACGTTGCAATATCGATAACTGGATATCAAAGTATAGTCCGGAGCAATATGTCACGCACCTTTGCCAGCACCGATGATAAACACAACCAATAGCGAATGGATCTATAAGCCGGCAACACACCACATTTTCGCAATTGTGTGCTCTGGTTTTTGATCTCCAGGTATCTACAATACGGCAAGGCTGGTCGAAAACGTTGACATGTTACGACGTCTTCACGGGAAACGGATGCTCTCGGAATTTGCCGGATTCCTAAACCTGCTTTGCCTTCTTAGGCTTTCCGCGGGACGGCTGCCCCGGCCACGCGTCGCTCATGCTCGACGATGGCCAAGAATGTGGAGGAGAAGCGCGAGCGAGCCAGGCCAATGGGTTCCTCATAGCCCGCCCGTTCGTGGAGTGAGTGCCTATCGATTCTGTTGCCGATGGGAAGCGGCAAATTTGCGACCACGTCGTGGATGGGGTGACGTCGTGGTTTGAAGGCCTTTTGCCAACGGCCCAGCCCACCTTCGTTTCATGTCACGGGAAACTCCACCAACCCTTCAGGGCGTAGGCGGTCTAGGGAGCTTCCTCTTCCACCACCCTTCTTCCTCTTGGGGGAAGAGTTGACCCCTCCCCCTACCCTTCCCCTGGACCTGGACGTGGGGTTCCGCGGGTAGTTGGAGCTGTCCAAAACGGTCTCCGCGAGGAAGCCACAATCATTGGTTCTATGCAAGTTTTGGCCCCATTTTGGCCTCCTGTGGGGGGATACTCGTGGAGCTCCCCTCCTCTGATTGATCTCAACCAAGATGGCCCTAAAATGGCCCCCAAGGGTGCTCCAAGAAGGCGCCAAGAGGTGGCCAGGAGGCTCCAAGAGGCCCCCAAGATGCCCCCAGGATGTCCCCAACAGGCTCCCAAGAGACCCCCAAGAGGACCCAAGAGGCCCCCTGGAGGCACCCAAGACGCTCCAAGAGGCCTCGGCGAGAGTGCCCAAATCAGGGATTTTACTGGCAACATTTTGGCCTCCTGGGGGTGAGGGACACGAATTAAGCTGACTCCAAAAGCGCCTGGGAGAGCCCAAGATGACCTCCAAGATGGCTCAAGATATGCCAAGATGCCTTGAGATGGCTCCCACGATGCTCCAAGAGGCTCCAAGACCGCTCCAAGTGGGCATAAAGTTCCCCCAGCAGGCCCCGAAGAGGTCCAAATCCTTCCAAAACCTTAGGGTAATCAATGTTTTTGGCCTTCTCGCCCTTTCGCTTCCGATGGCCGTCCGAGGCCCCAAGATGGCTCCAAGATGGCTCAAGGGGGCTCCATGAGAGGATCAAGAAAGCCCCAAAACGGCCCCAAGAGCGCCCAAGAGCTTTCCAAGAGCACCCGAAAAGGCGACTTTTTGGGCTCCCGAGGGGCAACGCAAATTAATGTTACCCTCTTGTTTGATCGATGTCCTCCAAGATGGCCCCAAGAGCGCTCCCAAGGCTCCCATGAGCGCTTCGAGAGGGCCCCAAGAGGCGCCCAGGAGGCCCCAACAGGCGCCCAAGAGGCCTCCAAGAGGTTCCCAAGAGACCCCCAAGAGGCCCCAAGAAGCTCTCCGACAGAGGCGTCCGGGACCGCCATGAGGACCCCAAGACGCTCCAAGAGGCCTCCACTGGGGGACCCTTCCTCTGTGTGCTTCCCATTTCCCTGATCGAGGCAATTCCTCTGGGCATCGTTTCTGGATGGGCTGGTGGGGTTACGCGAAACGGCTAGAATTCCTGTTTAGAATGCCCCTGCGTGCCGTAACTTTTTCTTTGCGGGCGGGTAGCGGCGGCGCCGTACGCACGGATCAGCGATTCGGCCAACGGCGCCGAACGCGAACGCATAGCGCAATACGGCACCAGCGCAAGAGGTGGGCCGAACATGTATGAACGTCGGGGGAACACGTGCAGAACATTACACTCGTCAGCGCACGGAAGCGTGCTCTGCGCGCGGAACAAAAACAATGCCACTGTGCATTCACAAAGGCAGCCCAGTACTGGCGGCGGCAGGCAAAACAAGTGGCTGGTCGCAATCAGCGGGGCGAAATCCGATCAGCCGTCTAGTCGTAGGTGGATTTACGAACTTGCGTCTTCTGGACAGCCCCGCTGTCGTTGATCCCCCACCAGTCCTGCTGCTCGTGGGGGATGGTGACTAAGGCATTCGTGTCCACACCCTTGTATCGCCCCGCGGGGCGGACGCTGTTGCAGATATGCTAGGGGGAAGGGTCGTCGGACGCCGTTGCAAATGTGCTGGGGAGAGCGGTAGTGCCCACCGAACCCTGGGGATATCGCCAGTGGAGATACCGCCGCTACGAGCAACGAAATCAAGGAGCGCGCATGCCTGGCGCATGGCGGCGCCCCTTAGGAGCCTCTGGGCGGCGCAGTTTGAGGCTGACATCGCATTACATAGTTTCGACGAAATGTATAAGGATGCGTGTCCGTGGCCCGAACACTGGTCTTTCCGTTCTTACGGGCGCAACGCAAGCCTGATGTCACTGGATTTTATATCAAATTATTTCGGATCGAAGAAAGAATTCGGAATAATCTACCTACTGGGAAATTTCAATGACTTCACAACGTTCGCTGAATTCACCGCGTACGGATCGTGGGCCCCCTTGGGGTACAACACGGTGGCATCAGCACTGCTTGAGTACATTTGCAACAATACGAATGGGAACAACAAAGGCAATGTCGAAGAACAAAGACAACCAACACACAAACACACGGATACATCCCATCGCAAGCGCCTCGTGCAGACACCACATGCCAGATCACCTTCGGCAAAGCGTTCTACATTCACCAGCTGGAGGCCCACTTCCTCCCCTTGTGCTGTGGCGAGGTGCCCCAACCCCTTATGTCAGAGTGAGGGGGCCGAACAGTCATTCACTGTCCCTTGGCGCGTGGCTGACGTGAGGTTCTGCGGTGCGAATTGTTGTTGAACTCTCATTGCAGAAGAACACTTATGGTTGATCCCCCTTTCCTGGGCACATAGTGTTTTTTTCAAATGAAGTGCTCTTCCTGGAGTTCGCAACCTGTTTTTTTCATCAGGGAAAAAGTCTTGGGTCTCAGAATTGTTTCTTTGGCCCCTGGTTTACAAAACTTTGGCTCCCGCCTGATATTTCTTCACTATTTATTCCCAAATCTCGCCATCGCGCGGCAAGACCTCACACTCTATACAGGAATCGTGCTCTCCCGTTAAACTTCCTCGCCATTTATTCGGACGCCGTGCCCTCGACACTCAAGAATCACGCTCTCGCTTTGGATTTCCCGGCGCTTTATTTGGGAATCGCGCTGTCGCTCGAAACGTCCTCGCGATTCATGCAGGACGCACGCTTCAGCAACCTGGCCGCTCTTCTTCGCGACTTACTTGGGCATTGCGCTCTCGCTGGGGACTGTCTGACTGTTCATGCAGGACTCACGCTTCAACAATCTGCCTGCTCGATCGACTTGGCCGCCTGGGAGCACCTTCCCGACCCGCCCGTTAGGGTCTACCCGCCTGGTCTGCCCGTCTGTTGCTGTCACGTGTTTTCTGCTCCTGGCCACCCTCCTAATACTCTCTCTCGTGCTCCATCCTCCTCCCTCCCCCTTGTCCGTTCCTTGCATCCGTTCTCTCTTCCCCTGCCGTAGGGGCTTCACGAAATACACGCTGCAGAAGAAACAACATCTATACACCCAAGGGGGTAAGATCGCAAACGAAAAGGGCAGCTATCGAGCGTTTGGGATATACGTGTTGAATGGCCCGCGAGCAGATAAGAGCGAACGATCTTAAAAGTATTGTTGCCGTTGCTGTTAGTGTTGCTGCTGCTGCTGCTGCTGTTGCTGTTGAGCTCTCACTACTGAATAACAATTATTGATGACGCCTCCTCCGGTGACCATCGTGTTTTTTTCAATTGAAGTGCTTCCCCCGGGGCTCGCACACTGTTCTTTATCAGAGGATGCCACTCGGCTCAAACTGCGGCGTTGACCCCCCGGATTACAACAACAACGGCTCCCGCCTGAGACTTCCTCACAATTTAGCCAGGACCCCCGCTCCCGCCTGAGACTTCCTCGCATTTTACTCAGGAGTCGCGCTCTCGCTTCAAGCGAGAGCGCGACTCCTGAGCGGTCCCATGCGGCTTGGGACCCCCTCGCAATGTATGCAGGACTCGTTTTTTTCGGCGCCCTGGAGTCGCGCTCTCGCTGGAGACTTGCTTGCAATTTACTCAAAAATCGCGCTCTTGCGTTGGAATTTCCAACAATGTACTCAGGGGCCGCTCTCCCGACAATCAGGCGCCCAGGAGTCGCGCTCACGCTGAGGACTCCCTCACAGCTTATTTATGACTCGGCATCTCGCTGCCTTTCGTGGCCCCGCTGCAGCCCTTCGTGGCCCCGTCGCTGCCCTTTGTGGACCCGTTGCAGCCCTTCGTGGCCCCTCGTTGCCCTTCGTGGCCCTGTTGCAGCCCATCGTGGCCCCCTCGCTGCCCCCCGTGGCCCCGTTGCAGCCCTTCGTGGCCCCCTCGCAGCCCTTCGTGGCCTCTTCGCTGCCCTTCGTGCCAGTTGCAGTCCTTCGTGGCCCCTCGTTGCCCTCCGTGGCCCCGTTGCAGCCCTTCGTGGCCCCTCGCTGCCCTTCGTGGCCCCGTTACAACCCTTCGTGGCGCCTGTATATGTATGCCCTTCGTGGCCCCCGCTCTTTCGTGCCCGTCGTGACCCCATATGCAAGCGCTTCGTGGCCCCGCTGTCGCCCTTCGTGGCCCCTCGCTGCCCTTCGTGGGCCCGTTGCTGCTCTCAGTGGCCCCGTCCTTGCTCTCTGCGGCCCCATGTGTGTATGCCCTTCGTGACCCCCGCTCGTTCGCGCCCGTCGTGGTCCATGTGAACGCCCTTCGTGGCCCCGCTGTCGCCCTGTGTGGCCCCCTCGCTGTCCTACGTGGCCCCGTTGCTACCCCCAGTGGCCTCGTTTTTGCCTTCTGTGGCCCCGCATTATCTGCCCTTCGTGGCCCCCGCTCATTCGTGCCCGTCGTGACCCCATATGCAAGCGCTTCGTGGCCCCGCTGTCGCCCTTCGTGGCCCCTCGCTGCCCTGCGTGGGCCCATTGCTGCTTTCAGTGGCCCCGTCCTTGCTCTCTGCGGCCCCATGTGTGTATGCCCTTTGTGACCCCCGCTCGTTCGCGCCCGTCGTGGTCCATGTGAACGCCCTTCGTGGCCCCGCTGTCGCCCTGTGTGGCCCCCTCGCTGTTCTACGTGGCCCCGTTGCTACCCTCAGTGGCACCGTTTTTGCCTTCTGTGGCCCCGCATTATCTGCCCTTCGTGACCCCCGCTCGTTCGCGCCCTTCGTGGCCCCATACGCATGCCCTTCGTGGCCCCGCTGTCGCCCTTCGTGGCCCACTGCCTGCCTTTCGTGGCCCCGCTGTCGCTCTCGCTCTCGCTCTCCCTCTCGCTTTCGCTCTTTGTCGTCGTCGTTGTCGTCGTCGTCGTCGCCGTCGTCGCCGTCGTCGTCGTCGTCGTCGTCGTCGTTGGTCCCCTGTCCGTCCCTCCTGGGGTCGGGTTGCCGCTGATCAGCGCTGCCGCTGGCCAGGCCGACGGTCCGCGGCCGCCCTGCCGCTTGCCTGGGCCAGGCCTGCAGGGAAGATATACCCCTCCCAAAGAGGTACGATTGAAGACGAAGAAGGCGGGTATCGAGGGTTCGGGAAATAGGCGTTGAATAACACTCGACCAGATAAGAGCGAACAGTTTCAAAATGATTCTAGTGCTTGTTGTTGTGGTTGTCGCTGCCGTCGCCGTTGTCGTGGTTGTCGTTGTCGTTGTTGTTGCTGAACTCCCACTACTGCAGAATTTTTGTTGTTGATTCCCCCTCCGGTGACCATTCTGTTTCTTCAGTTGAAGTGTTTCCCCCGGGGCTCGCACCTTTTTTGATAAAGGAAAATCACGGGGCTCAAACTGTGCCCTTGGCCCCCGGATTACAACATCAACGGCTCCCGCCTGAGACTTCCTCACAATTTAGCCAGGACCCCCGCTCCCGCCTGAGACTTCCTCGCGTTGTGCTCAGGAGTCGCGCTGTCGCTTGGGACTTCCTTACAATGTATGCAAGAATCGGTTTTTCGGCGCTGTGGAATCGCGCTCTCGCTGGAGACTTGATACACTTTACTCAACAATCGCGCTCTTGCGTTGGAATTTCCTGCAATTTACTCGAGCGCGGCGCTCCCGACATTCAGGTACCTAGGAATCGCGCTCACGCTTAGGACTCCCTCACAGCTTACTTCGAAATCGTGATCTCGCTGCCCTTCGTGGCCCCGTTGCAGCCCTTCGTGGCCCCCTCGCTGCCCTTCGTTGCAGCCCTTCGTAGCCCCCTCGCTGCTCGTCGTGGCCCCGTTGCAGCCCTTCGGGGACCCTCGCTGCCCTTCGTGGCCCCGTTGCAACCCATCGCGGCCCCCTCGCTGCCCCTCGTGGCCCCGTTGCAGCCCCCCTCGTTGCCCTTCGTGGTCCCGTTGCAGCCCTTGGTGGCCCCCTCGCTGCTCGACCCTCGCTGCCCTTCGTGGCCCCCGTTGCAGCCCATCGTGGCCCCCTCGCTGCCCCTCGTGACTCCGTTGCAGCCCTTCGTGGCCCCCTCGCTGGCCTTCGTGGCCCCGTTGCATCCCCTCATGGCCCCCTCGCTGCCCTTCGTGGCCACGTTGCGCCCCTTCGTGCCCGTTGCAGCCCTTCGTGGCCCCCTCGCAGCCCATCGTGGCCCCGTTGCAGCCTTTCGTGGACCCCTGGCTGGCTTTCGTGGCCCTGTACATGTATGCCCTTCGTCGCCCCCGCTCGTTTGCGCCCGTCGTGGCCCCATGCGCATGCGCTTCGTGGCCCCGCTGTCGCCCTTTGTGGCCCACTTCCTGCCCTTCGTGGCCCCGTTGCTGCCCTTAGTGGCCCCGTCCTTGCCCTTTGCGGCCCAATCTACGTATGCCCTTCGTGGCCACCGCTCGATCGCGCCCGTCGTGGGCCCTATATATACATATATATATATAGATATATGTCTGCCTGTCGTGGCCCCGCTGTCGCCCTTTGTGGCCCCCTCGCTGTCCTACGTGGCCCCGTTGCTACCCTCAGTGGCCCCGTCATTGCCCTCTGTGGCCCCGCATTATCTGCCAGTCGTGGCCCCTCCTCGTTCGCGCCCTTCGTGGCCCCGCTGTCGCTGTCGCTCTCGGTCTCGCTCTCGCTTTCGCTCGTCGTCGTCGTCGTCGTCGTCGTCGTCGTCGCCGTCGTCGCCGTCGTCGTCGTCGTCGTCGTCGTCGTCGGTCCCATGTCCGTCCCTCCTGGGGTCGGGTTGCCGCTGATCAGCGCTGCCACTGGCCAGGCCGACGGTCCGTGGCAACCCCGCCGCTTGCCGGGGCCCGGACTGCAGGGACGAAAGATACACCCCCCGAAAAGGGTACGAAAAAGGGCGGGTATCGAGGGTTTAGGAAATATGCGTTGAATGACACTCGAGCAGATACGAGCGAATAGTCTTAAAATGATGGTTGTTGTTGTTGCTGCTGCTGCTGTTGTTGTTGTGGTTGGTTGTCGTCGTACCCCACGCAATCCGGCCCGCGACCCACTCACGACTCACCCGCGATCCAACTGATACCCACCCGAGACCCACCCGCGACCCACCCGCGACCCACCCCGCGACCCGTCCGCGACCCACCAGCGACCCACCCGCGACTCACACGCGACTCACCCGCGACCTGGCCCGCGACCGACCCACATTGCTTTAAGGAAAAAATCGGCGCCTGCGGCGGGCTCACTGCATACTTTGGAACCAGTTAAACGTCTGCGGCGGGCTTCTTGACAGCCTCGCGGACTGCCCGCGTCCTCGCCGTCCCCTCAC